GAAAAGGCTTAGTTTGTTTTCTAAGAAAGGAGAAAACTGGAAAAGCTGTTAATAGCAATGTCATGGTTCTATTTAAGGATAAATAATTCATTGACTTTTTTTTTGGTGGTATTGGGGATGAACCCAGGGTCTCAAGCAGGCTAGGCAAGTTCTCTACCACTCAGCCACATCCAGCCCTTTTTTGTTTTATTCTGATAGCATCTCACTAGGTTGCTCAGGGTAGCCTTGAATTTAGGATCCTTCTGCCTCACCCTCCTGAGTAACTGGGATTACAGATCTGTACCACTATGCCCCATTAATTTTAAAAATTATAATTCAGAAGCAACTTGTAAGACTTCTTTAATTTGCTGAGAATAGAAAACAGCTCTGGATCTAGGACAACCATTAACACAGGTATAGATTACAGAGGCACTCTGCTTGGGTCTCTTCAATAGGTTCACATAGCAACAATAGCTACTATGTGGTTGTGAGAAATGGGGAAGTAATAAACAACTGTAAGGTTTCTGTCCAAGGATCATAGCAAAGAAACCTTAATCCCATTTCCTTCTCACTATATACTCTCATAATCCTACTAGCCTATTCCTTTATTTATTTTTGCTTGCGAGGCAGGCACGGGAACCACTGACCTAAATCCTCGGCTAAATGCAAAGTTCTGATGATCAACTTTTCCACCTGTTTTCTAATCATAGGTCTGTTCATGATGAGTTCTCTTTTTGGAATAACCTATAACTTACTGCACAATTATTTCTTTTTGAAGAGGTGGACTATAAATATAAACAAGCTACCCAATACTTCACTATGTTAATGTATTACTGATGCCAGGTATCTGGATTTGTGGAGCCAATCAGTTAAAACTCTATGTGGTAGGTTCTCATGAGCTTTCAGAAGGAACAAAGAAATCACAGGTCCCTAGGCAGGATTAAAAATAGTGGTTTTGCCACGTGTGGTGGTGTATGCCTGTAATCCAGTTACTCAGGTGGCAGAAGAATCACAAGTTTGGAGGCCAGCCTGGGCAATTTAGTGAGACAATGTCTCAAAATAAAGTAAAAAAAGTCTGGGGATATAGCTTAGAGTACTTATCTAGCATGGGTTCAATCCCCAGCACTGCAATAAAAAGCTGGTCTACAAGAATTATACGCAGTTAACCTAGGCAATGTTGAAATGAATAATGAATAGAACAAAGTTATAGCACAATAAGTATCCTTTTAAAAGGGGACATACACTTGTAGCAAAAATATCTGTTGAAACTATCTAGGTTTTACTTAGTAGTAGTAAATTCCTATAACCAGAGAATCAACCTTCATAAATACTTGATGTAGAGGTAAAGAAAGTTAACTCAGAACAGTATATTATAAAGCAAATTATGTAACTGAAAAATATGCAAAGAGAAATGATATGGCTAATGTCTATACAGTCATGCTGATTCATTTTAAACTGTAAAATTTTA